AAATTCCCGACAGGCAGCTTGTTCAGGGCACCACTAGTAAGAAGTGATGGAAAGAGACACACTACAGGCCTGGATTATAAGAGAATCTTCATGATACTTAAGTACTTACAACTGTTTGACTAATGAGATCATTTGGCTTGAGTCTTAAGGTGGAGGCATAATTTAATATATCTGATATTTTATAGCTATGATAGCCTTTTAAGACGAATAGGTCAAAGCAGCGGTTTGAACACTTTATACAAGGTTATAGTCAGTAAGAGACAGCAAAACCTAAAGGTGTCTGCAAACTGAATTCCACTCTAGAAAAGCACTATGGTAAAGCCATCCTTAGGGATATATTCTGTATCTTTTCAATCTAGAAATCATTTATACATTTCAAATAGGAGTGACTGAATAGGAGGCACCAAAGCCTAACTCAAAGTGATTGTTTTATTCAGGTATGACACAACAAAATGCATGCTATCGCACAGATCCATGCTGTAGACTTCCAGTACCCAGTATGACAAACATACTGCAGAGAATTATATAAATTCCAACCAATAATGAAGACTACAAACACCACCACCACCACCATCACCACCACAAGCATTTCTTGCACACACTAGCCATATTCCAGGCAGGCAATAGTCAGTCATGGATGGCTGGTGGCCAATATGCTAGATGGTGCTAGGGTAGAATCTTTCCATTACAGTAGAGATCTACTGGACAGCACGACTCTGGAACGTGGAAGACTGTGTAATTTTATTGCTGCAGTAGTGGAAGGAATGCTGACTTGGAAGACCAACAGGGCCAGAGTCTACATCTCTTACCTATTACCTTTTAACTCATGAGCAAGTGCCTGAACATGAGTATCTTGTTTGCTTCATTTGTTAAGTTGGGAAACAGAAAGATGGTGACATGAGTATCACCACTGCTCAATGACCACAGAACCTGCAACCCCTCAATTCTTTACTCAAGTCCAACTGAAGCCTTGCTGCTACCAAAGTCCTTATACAGGATGAAAATACAGTATTTCTGAAAGATTCATGGGAACCACCAAACCTAAGGCCTTGATGAAAGTATCTTCTTTGTACAGTTTTACCTTTTGCTTTGGAGTGGAGTAGGTGAGTGGGTGCTTTGTATAAAGAAAAGCTAAAAATAAATCAAGTAAATAAAACAAGTTAGAACTGGAAACAGTTATAGTTCAATGTTTTTTCATATTAACTGTAAAACCTGACCCAAGTGAAGAAAGTTGGATATGAAGGTAGGACTTGAGTTAAGTGGGTCAGGTGCCTTGGTGGTATCTCCCACAGGACAATGACAAAACAGCTACAGGATCAGGTCTAATCACCAGATGCAGAATCAGATCCTAACTTTTTATTAATAAACAAATCCCCAAATAACTCAACAGCTTACTGACTTGACAAAACTATTTTTTACTTTTAGGACTATGTAGACAAGATGTATATTCAAGAGAGGTCCTAAGACCCCCATCACCCTCTGTTGCTCTGCCATTTCTCTCTGATACAGCTCTTCCTTAAAGATTTTCCCCAATGGGACAACCTGCTTAACTGAGTTCTCTGTTCAAAGACGGAAGCCTTTGTTTCTATCCCTTAAAAACTCTCTCTAAAACAAAACAAAACAAAACCAAAACTCAGTTGACTTTTCTCCACAAGAATATTCTAATAAGATAAATACCCCTGATAATTTAACATCTATTATTCTATGATGCTATGATGGATTAAATTTACAGAACACTGGTAATTTTATGTTAACCCCAAATTAAAGATTAGATAGCTGCTAAGTTTCACAAAACAAAAACCAGATTAATAGTTTGTGTACTTACAAATCTGCCTTTATTTGTTCTGCAGATGAGAATTACTTCCAAATAGCTGAAACTCTGGTGTTAAGTTCTGATTAAGCATGTTTCAATTATATGCCATACTTTCAATTTCACATGAACTTTGAATTGTGAATGAAACATTACAATTTGCTCAGGCTTATGCCAATGGTAACCAGGTCCACAAGTATCTTCGTTTCCCCACTGACTAGCAGGAGTGAGAACCAGTGTTGAGGCAGGAAAAAGCAGAATTGAGCCAATTTCATAAAAATGAAGAATTTCCCAAATAGTTAACAAAGAAAATAGCCATTTGCAACATTTAGTTTTTACTATTAAATAAATTTATCTGAACTTATATGCTTTAAAAAAACATGTCCAATTTTGTTTTTTGAGAAAGGGTCTTATAGTCCAGGATGGCCTCAAATTTGTGATAATCCTCCTGCCTCTGCCTCCAAAGTTCTTGGCTTACAAGTAAGTGCACACCACCATTCTGAACTTGAAAAATGTCTCTAATATGTCCATAGGATTTAAAATTTGGGAGGTAATTACCTGGCAAATACCTTACTGAAAAAAATCAAGAGACAGATTCTGTTTTGCTCTGATACTTAAAAATGGTGAGGAAGAACAATTTGGGATTTCCAGCTTTCAAATGACCTTGCTACCTCTCATGGGGGGGGTGGGGTAGGGGGTGGGGAGGGGTTAAGGGATGTGTAATAGCCAGTGGTTTTCATTTTAATTCCTATTTTATACTGCAGATATCCCTCAATACCAATTATCTCTCAGTCAAGTGAAATTCAAACGGAGGAAATTTACTTTAGTTCTTTAGAACCAATAATTCTCTAACAATGCCCTTACCCAAAATCACTCTTCCACAACAACCAATTTTGATATTCCTACTGGGTCAATGACAAAACTGCCCTCTGTCCTCAACCCTACTTTCAATAGCCATGTGAATGATCAGAACCCAATGTACTTTTTTTTTCTCCTTTTGGTGGTGATGGAGATCTAACTCAAAGCCTATGAATGCTAGGTAAGGTCTCTACCACTTACACCTCTTCCTTAAGTGTACTTTTTAGTACAGATGATCCTCTACTTATGATCTGACCTAAGATTTTTTTTTTTAGTTTATAAAACGGTGTGACAAGAGGCAGTTGTACATATGAACCCACAGTGCTTCTGATAACACACCCAAGACCAACCCCAAGTCAGGGAGGTGGGCAAGCAGCCTCTGCTCTAGCTGAAGATCTACTGGCAACTGACAGCTACTAGGAGAGGGAGAATCAGTTTTCTTTAAGGATGTGATTCCTGGGAGGTTGACTAGACTCCAAGTGATGGACTCATACCCAAGAGAATTTGGGGAATACAACCTAGACACAATAGGCCTCTTAAAAAAAAAGAAAATAGGCTGGCTGTGGTGGTGCACGCCTTTAATCCCAGCACTTGGGAGGCAGAAGCAGGTGGATCTCTGTGAGTTCAAGGCCAACATGGTCTACATAGTGAGTTCCAGGACAGCTGGGGCTAGAGTGAGATCCTGTCTCAAAAAGACCAAAAAAAAAAAAAGGAAATAATAAAGCACATCAAGTTGAGGGTGAGGAAGGTAGTTAGGGGTAGTGGAGATGGAAGAGGAGGTCTGAATATGATGAAAATACACTGTATGAAATTCTCAAAGAATCAATAAAAATATATAATAAAATAAAATGGTGTGAAAGAAATATACCTTCAGTAAAATTATACTTTGGATTTTGTATTTTCCCAGACTAGTAATGATTTGGGGAATATCTCTGCATTTTCCCAGGCTAGCAATGATTCCAGGAATATACTCTTCCAGAGCTGCACTGCAACAGCCAGCCACAGTTCCCAGTCAGTCCTATGACCACAGCAGGAAGAACCAATACTATGCAGTACTATGTTGCTAAGCTATGACACTCAACAGTTTAGGTGTACTAACATTTCAATGTGTGAGGGATTGATCAGCAAATAATTACATTGTAACATCTCTGCTGTACTTTCTTGAAATGGTAACTGAGCTTTGCTGACTGAATTCACTCACTATTACAGTCTGTAAAAATTTTTGAAAAGACCCTGGACTAGGGAACTCTCCAACTAAACGTTTGCCTTGTATCTCTGAGTCTCTGCTGACCCAACTGCCTATCCCACATAAGTTGCTCTCTCTTTACATTAAAGGACAACAGCTTTTGGCACAGTACTCATATCTACTAGACACTCAAACTAGTATATTGAAAAGCACTCCAATTCATGGCAAAACACTTTCTCTAGGGAAGTATCAGTATTTGCTACCATTTTGTGTCTCTCAAACCAAGTACTGTTTCCCAGGGCATGAGCAGACAAGAGTTCAGTGCTATAACAAAAACAAAGACTGAAATATAATTTCATTACAGAGGCAAATATAATACTATTAATAAGTGGGATGGTATAGTTGTCATGGCTAGCTTCAGTTGTCAACTTGACATACCTGGGAAGAGGGAACTGACAAATTCCCTCCAGCAGACTGGCCTGTGGACATGTCTGTGAGGCATTTTCTGAATTGCTAATTAATGCAGAAGGGCCCAGCCAACTGTGGGCAGTGTCGCTCCTCAGCAGAAAGTCCTGGGTTAAATAAAGATAGCTGAGCAAGCTAGGGACGCAAGCTGGTAAGGAGAGTTCCTCCATGGTCTTTGCTTCAGTGCCTCCCTTCAGTTTACTAGAAGATGGCACTGTGACCAGGAAGTCAAACTCTTTCCTTCCAAAGGTGGTTTTGGTTATGGTGTTTATCACAGCAACAGAAAAGCTAACTATGACAATAACTAACTAAAATAATGCTAAGTTAATTACACAGCGTCTTTTCAATTTTAGAGCCAGCTTAAAAAGTTTGATCTTTGGTCTGGTGAGATGGCTCAGTGGGTAAAGAAACTGAGGTTGATCCCCAGAACCCCATGGGGTGGAAGGAAAGAACAACTCCTGTGAGTTGTCCTCTGACCTCCATATGTGAGCTATGGCATATATGATCCCACACACATACAGCCACATAAATATTTAAAATAGTTTGATCTTTTACCAAGACTCTCATTTATAATCATAAAATAGAGTACAGGCCACATTTTGTACTACAATTTGAAACTCCAAAAACCAATGTCCTGAAACTAAAGTCACTCAATATTAAATGTAAATAGATAATACTCACAGCTTGCATTTCTATACAGAAGAAACGGTTCATGGAGCTGAAATTCCAAATCTTTATTCACTGGTTCAACCAAATTGTGCATATTTAGTCGATTGACAATGGTAAAACCATGGTAAGGTGAAGCTGACCTTAGAGTTAAAGAAAGGGAATACGTAGTTACCTTTTAATCTTCAAAAAAGTTATCTACTACCTTATTTTCCTTTCAGAAAAGGCTGAATACATTACTACATCATATAACACAATCAGCATTTGAAACCATAAACAAAAATACAAGGCTGGGGACATAGCTCAGTGGTAGAGTGCTTTCCTAGCATGAGCAAAGCCTTGGGTTCAGGCCCCAACAGGAAAAAGTTAGATCATTCCCTTCTCTGCTCACAAAGACTCAATTCCTCAGTGTAAAAGCCAAAGTCTAGGAAGGCCAGTTTGAAGCCCCAACCATACCTCACCTCCTATTTCTTTGCTTGCTTTTCCTGCTCCAGCCACACTGGGCTCGTGCCACTCTCTGTAGATGTGTTTCCACCTGGAGACCTTTGCCTGGGTGACACCCCCAAATTGGCACAGCTCATCATTTCCAGCAAGCATGTGCTCAAATGTCACTTTCTCAATGGTGCCTTCTTGAATCCTTCTTTTAATGTTGCAAACCTCAAACGCCTATTGTTTTTCTATTTATTGTCTTTCTCCTACCACTAGAATGTAATCCATATGAATGGGGATTTCTACCCCTGCCTCCACCACAGATGTATACCAAGACACACATAAGCATGTGATAAATATATGCTGGAGGAAACACCACTCTTATTTAAATATGGTACAGAACTCTCTAGAATGACTGCCACCCATTACACCAGTAATTTTTCTTACATTAAATAGGTCTTTGTATCTTTGTATATTTTTCCTTTTGTAGATGGACTTGACTTCTACAGTGCGAATGCCCTTAGTTTCCTTATCACACGATCCTTTGGACACTCTACCTGCACCTAACACTGCAGCTTCTCATTTGTTTCTGTGAAGTACATGGGGATATAAAAGGATCCTATTCCACAAATTAACAAGCTTAGCATCAAGGCCTGTGCCCAAAGTCACACAAATTACATAACAGATTCAATTTTTTTTTTCTCACTCCAAATCCAGGCTTCTAGTCTAAGCGACTTCTGCTACATAATATTCTGAAATGTTCCCATAGAGGTACTTGAGTTCTTTCACTAGAACCAATGCCATATAAGCCTGTATAAATTGGGTTAAATTAAGCTAGTCACTATATTAAATTTCACATTTTCTACAATCAATGGATCTATTCTGTTCTTTAACATTAAATCTTTTATTTATTATTTTTATGTGTATGTGTGTATTGCCTGCATGTACGTAAGTGCACCCATGTTGTGCAATGCTCATGGAGGACAGAAGAGGCCGTCGGACCCCTGGAACTGGAGTTATGGACAGTGCTGCCATGTGGGTTCTGGGATTCGAACCCGGGTCTCCTGCAAGAACAACCAGTGTTCTTAACCCCTGAGACATCTCTCCAGCCCCACCTTTAACATTAAGTCTTAAAAGTATTCCCAATCTCATAGACACCACTGTTTTAGTAACAGTGAGGGGTTTTTAGAGATTTATATTGCTAAGGAAGGGTAATGAAGAGGTTGAGGCTAGACCTTTTTTAAAAAAATATTTTTATTTTATGTGTATGAGTGTACTGTCTGCATGTATATAAGTATATCCATATCATGCAATCCCCGAGGTCAGAAGAGGGCATCAGATTCCCTGGAACTGGAGTTAGGACAGTTGTTAGCTGCCATGTGGCTGCTGGGAACCAAACCTGGGTCCTCTGCAAGAGCAGTCAGTGCTCTTAACCACTGAGTCATCTCTCCAGCCCCTGAGGCTAGACCTTTTTTAAAAGGGAAAAAAATGAACAGAAAAGAAAGTATCACAGAAAGAGGACCTTGACATATAAACATCAAAGCACTTCCACCTAAAAGAAAAAAAGGAGGGTTTAGATAAGATCACAAAGCCCTATATTGAAATTTGGAATAGTATTAAACTTTTAAATTAGCACCAATGGAGAAAGTCCACCTATAAAAGATAACTCAATATAAAAAAAAGACCCAGATGTGAATAGACCCTGCCTCTACCACCCTAAGCTCTAGAAAACAAGGGAAGGGACCTGCTTCTTTAAGAACAAGATCTTACAGGAGCACAAGAAAACAAGTGTCCCATGAGTATGATATACTGCTGGTTGCTTTTAGGCCCCTAAGATGTTTAACAAGGTAAAGTTGCAAACCAATCATTTTAAGAGAACTTATTCTCAGAGAAGTTTCAAGTAAAAAAAAAAACATGCAATTATGAATAATCCAGGTGTTCTAGAGCACTCTCAAATAAATGAAAAACACATTATTAAAGACTTATACATATCCTAGAAACTTTGGGGGGAGGGGTAAGAGGGAAAGGGGCAGAACTAGTCATAGAAGAGCTCATTTAGAAACCACAGACAAGAGGGACTGCCTCTACTTTTTTATAGCGCTAGTTTACACATTATATTTCACTCATATACACGTGTAAGTTATGTATTCTTTTTGATATGGGGATAGGTGAGCAGGCATCTTGGATGCATTATCAGAAAAAGCTTTCTATTTTGAAATCAGTTTGCTAGGCTCCTCAGTCAGCTCTGGTTGTTTACTCTGAATCACAGGAAGGACTTGAGAAGGGAAACAGCCTGGATAGGATCTTACAGCCTGGAATGGATGAATACCTGAAGGGGATAAACAGGAAGTTTCCAAAGACAAATACACAACAGAAACGAACTACTTCATAGGACACTGCTCACCATTCAACTAAAATACAAAACAAGTTTAAAAAACTTACCTTCGATAGACAAATAAGGTCCCTTCTATGTCAGTCTTCTCCTGTAACAGATAAGTCTGTTAGTTTTTCACTAATAATTCAACACCAAATAGTCCAAGAGGAGAAAAAAATGCTTTACGTTTAATTTGTTTTATCTACTATAAAATCAATCATGACTGATTGATGGACTGTGTGTGTGTGTGTGTGCTCATGTATCTGTTCATTTGGCAACCTTGGTGTGTTCAAGAGCTGTCCACCTTGTTTTTTGGGTCACGGTTGTTTAAGCTTCTGATTGGCCAGAAGCTAGCATCTTAGGCTAGGTTGGCCGGCCGGCCAGCAAGCTCTAGGGATCCACCTGTCTCTGCTTTCCTAGTGCTGGACAGTAAGTGCAAGACACCATACCCTGCTTTTACCTGGGGGCCTCAGATTCTCATGCTTGTGAGGTAAGTACTTTACTTACCTCCCTGGCCCCCAAATTAACCACTTCTGAACAGGTAAAATAAGTCTCTCTTCACAAATCATATATTCATTCAACACTACTGATGCATATTATAAGTATATGCAATGTCTAATTCAATAATGTGTCTATATCTGTAGCATTCTTCTATTTTAACTACTAAGAAAAAAATCAGAATTAACTTTAAAAAATATTTTATTTATATATATTTTTATGTATGAGTGTATTGCCTACATGTGCGTACATGTACCCATGTTGTGCAATGCCCTTGGAGGTCAGAAGAAGCTGTCAGATTCCCTGGAACTGGAGTTACAGATGGTTGTTAGCCACCATGGGGTGCTGGGAACTGGACCTGGATCCTCTGCAAGAGAAGCCAGTGCTCTTAACTGCTGAGCCATCTCTCTAGTCCCAACTTTAACTTTTTAAAAGCTAAAATGTTTCAGCTAGATTTAAGTCAAGGTCTTGTATGGCAACTGTTTGTTGCAGTTTTAAGTCTATCAAAGTTAAGAAAAAAAGGGAAACTTAAAGAAAAAACAAAAAACAAAAACCTAGGACTGGGGACTAAACTCAGGGGCCTGGAGCTTGTGAAACAGAGCTGTATCACTGAATTAAATTCCCACCCCCTAGGTAATTTTCTTATAATATACTTTGTTTCATCACTGAAGGACTTTGGAATATTTTCATGGGTAACACATTTTATAGTTAGCTAAGAACTACTAACAATGTTATTTTTAGAACATTGCTGAAGAATCATGGATACTGAAACCACTGTCTGTCTTGGACAATTTTGGTCTTACAGAGACTTAAAAAAAAAAATTAACTGAAAATGTGATTAAGAAAGCGAACTTGCTGGGTGTGGAGGGCACACCTTTAGTCCCAGCGCTTGGGAGGCAGAGGCAGGTGGATCTCTGTGAGAGTGAGGCCAGCCTGGTCTACATAGTAAGTTCCAGGCTAGCTGGGGTTACATAGTGAGTTCAAGGCCAGCTGGGGTTACAGGGAGATCCTGTCTCAAAAAGACCAAAAAAAAAAAAAAAGTAAACTTAGGTTAGGTATATAGCCAGTGGTAGAGTGCTTGCCTAGCATGCATGAGGCCCAGAGTTTGATCTCTGCACTTGAAGCTAAGTGAGAAGGTGTAACTCATTACTATCTTTCATTTGCTGTGACAAGTATCTATTTTTTCTGAAAACAAATAATCTTATCACTCTGTAGTTCATGGCCTAGATTGGATCTAAATATTTTAATGTATTCAATAAGTTATCAAAACTTTAGCATTAGTCATATCAAACTGAATTTGAAGGGATAAAAAAATTAAAACTGAATGAAAAAACATCTATGTCTTATAGGAGTACTGCTGTGGTTTATATATCACCATGAAACTTTTCCTTCCTGAAGCTGTTTCTTGCCTTTGAAATGTTATTATTAGCCAGGTGTGGTGGTGCATAGCTTTAATCCCAGCACTTGGGAGGCAGAGGCAGGTGGATCTCTAAGATCAAGGCCAGCCTGGTCTACACAGCAGTTTCAGGCCAGCTGGGGCTATAGGGAGATCCTGTCTCAAAAAAGTTACTGTTATAAGAAAATGGTAATCAGTTGGGCATGGTGGTGCACACCTTTAAACCAGCACTTGGGAGGCAGAAGCAGGCGGATCTCTATGAGATAAAGGCCAGCCTGGTCTATACAGTGAGTTCCAGGCCAGCTGGGGCTCATGGAGACCCTGTCACAAAAAAGAAAAAAAAAAAAAAAAAAAAAAAAAAAAAAAGAATACGGACCTGAAAGAAAACTTGCCTCCCAAAACATTGTGCAAAATTAAAACTCACTATTAAATAAGAGAAAAGGCTATGGTGAATGTACTACAATAAACAGTGACTTACTTTTTCAATTTCATATTTAAAACACAACTCCATGGTATAAAATCCTAAAACATTGTAAACCTTCGTAAAAAACCAAAGATTATAGTAATAAATATTACTTGAGGGGACTGGAGAGATGGCTCAGCAGTTAAGAACACTGACTGCTCTTGCAGACAACCTGAGTTCAATTCCCAGCATCCACATGGTAGCTAACAACCATCTGCAACTCCAGTTCCAGGGGATCTGACACCTTCTTCTGACCTCTGTGGCATTGCACAACACGGGTGCACTTACACACATGCAGGCAATACACTCATACACATAAATAAAAAAATACTACTTGAAATTCTTAGCATTTGTGTAAAATCCACAGCTCACAATTTATAGAACAATTTATAATTTTATTCTTTGTGGCTTCCCACATCTCTTTCTCTTCTAGAAGGGGAAGGGAAAATGATTATGAAAACTTTACCTGAATGAACTGTTCATAAACGACAAATGGTTTCACAAAACTGCTACTCTAGTGTTACATTGGAAAACAGTTACAACAATGTTTCAGTTTTGTTACTTAAGAATTTCATTACTTGTTGAAGCGTGGATGCCAATCATTGATGACTTCTACCCAATCAACAGTTACAGATTACAAGTGTGAAGCTTTTAGAGCTGAATGAATTAATTAGGGAGCATCAATTATGAGCAATTATGTAAACAACTAAAGCAGCTCCAAGCAGAGGTCAAGAGTCAGTGAATACACAACGTAAATTTTCGGACCTCCATGCGGCGCACCAAAGCTAAAAAGTACTGAAGTGAGCAAGGAAAGGTGACATCACCTGTCTCCTTTTCTCTGCATAAACTCTCCAGGGAATCCAATTAACACCATAGAAGGTTCCCCCCCGCCCCCCAAGCGCCTCGAAATCTTTCTCCAAACTCTGGAGATACAGTGTGGTTCGATTAAAGCCGGACTAACTCTTGAAACTAATTGGATTTCAGGTTTCAAATCCAAATGACCTCGGCGTTGGGGGGCTCTCACGTCTGTTGATGGAAGGGGTGTTTATTTTGTGGAATATGTATATATGTAGTTTACAATAGTCTTCAAGGTCTCAAACATAGGTTTTCGGCCACCCTTCCCCCTTTTAAAATCTCACCCGTCTCATGTTCTCCCAATCCATCCTGTCTCATGGTCATCCTATTAAAGACGGCATGTCGTCCAAAGTCCCCAGAAGCGACTCCAAGGGACGATCCTGCCCCATTCCTCTCCAACCGCTTTTCCCTGCGAGGTCTCCGTTCTACTCTCGCTCCCCTCCTTCGGTCCCACGTGCCCCGGTCACCCCCTTAGGCTCTGGCTCAGCCTTCGGAGAGGCTCAGGCGTCGCCCCTGCCGCCCCGGCCTCCCGGTTCGCTCTCCACCCGAAGCAGTTGCGCGGCCCCTTTAAGGGCTGGCAGCTGCCGGGTTGGCAGGGGTCCTCCCAGGCTGGGCCTCACTCACCCACTGGTTGGCCTTGGGGCAGAAGGTGTACAGAGCGACCTGGCCCGTGAGGTCTGCGATGCTGGTGATATAGGGGTCGTGTTGTTTCAGGGCCGCCAGGCTCATCTCCTGCCCTGCTCGACTCAGCGACTCCATCTTGAATCTCCGAGCAGAGCCCCTCCGGCGGGGGCGGAGTCGTGAACCGGAAAGTGCCATCCAGACAATGTTCCCCCAACGCCGTCCGCGCGCTCCACGTCCGCTTATGAGCAGAGCCTCGCGGAGTGCTGGTACAGCAGCGATACCAGTCCGACTCTTGCACACCATGGATACCAGGTTCCGACCTCGTTAGGGCCCCCATCTGGCAGACAGTAGCGGCGTCCGCGGCTGCGCGGGTCAGCCAGCTGGAGGGAGTCCTGCGCATCCGGGCAGAGCCCGGTAGACGCTAACCCAGGTTGCGAGGGCTCCCAGCCAGGGCGCCTCACCACCCCAGAGCGCCCCACCAGGGCTCCCCACCACCCCCAGAGCTCCCCACCAGGGCTCCCCCCACTAGTGCTCCCCACCACCACCAGTGCTCCCCACCACCACCAGAGCGCCCCACCAGGGCTCCCCACTACCCCCAGGGCTCCCCACCAGGGCTTCCCCCCGGAGCTCCCCTCTAGGGCTACCCCCACCCCCAGAGCTACTCCACCCCCAGGGCTACCCCCAGGGATCCCCCCTCCCCTCAGGGCTCCCCCTCCCAGGGCTCCCCACCACCCCCAGGACGCCCCACCTGGGCTCGCCGACACCCCTAGAGCTCCTCACCACCCCTCGGGGCTCCCCACCAGGGCTCTGAGCTCCTGCCAGGCAAGGCTGTACCCCGGAACCTCGGAACCCTGAATGTTACTGTGACCCCCGACTCCTTCACTGTTAACGGTTTGGTGATTTTTTTAAAAAAAGAAATGTCGGGCGTGGTAGCGCACGCCTTTTATCCCAGCACTTGGGAGGCAGAGGCAGGCGGATGATCTCTGTGAGTTCAGGGTAGCCTGGTCTACATAGTTCTAGGACAGCTGGGGCTACAGGGAGACCCTGTCTCAAAAAGACAAAAAAAAAAAAAAAAAAAAAATCTGGGCCAGGTGGGGCCT